GATAGATAGATAGATAGATAGATAGATAGATAGATAGATAGATAGATAGATAGATGGATAGACATACTCGAAAGAGCAAAACACAGTGATTCTTATTTCAACAAAAGCCTTATACTAGATGGTAAAAAAATAAATATTTTATATCTTTCTTTCTTTGTTTTTAGAGGTATATATTTGCGTGGAAAGGGGGTGTGATGGGCCGTTTATAATACTTTTATCTTTTTTATACGTGTGGTGTTATACATTTCATCCATTCTAATAAAATCATATTCACAGATACTGTTGGCTTTCTTAACGTGTTGTCAAAATGTTCCTTATCTTTCACCTTACAATTCCCAGCCCAACAGCAAATACAAAATAATAGCACACTTTCAATCATAGAATTGTGCAAAAATGACATAATATTTGATGAACAAAAAGTCATGAAAAAGTCTAAATTTCCTGAAAAGGAACCTTCTTTGGTGTTCTTTTTACGCACAAGAGCAGCGTGGGGAAGCCAGTCAAGCTTGTGATCGATTGTTATTCCTACATATTTGTAAGAACTTACAACCTTCACCTCTTCATCTTTAATAAATAGTGGTTGCAATTGGGTTTTTTTTAAGTCTTAAGTCTATTATTTATTCCTTTGTCTTTTTTACGTTTAGTATAAGGAAGTGGTTATCACAGCAATTTGTAAATACATTTACAGCGTCCCTGTAGTCATTCTCGTTTGTTGTTATAAGGCCTTGTAGGGTGGAATCATCCGCACATTTGTATTAGTTTGATGTTTTTGTTTTTTAAAGTACAGTTACAAGTGTCGAGCGTAAACAAGACAGGACCCCGGGGCAGTGCCACTGACTGTAGTGTTTTTAGGGCATTCCCAAAGGGGGGACATTTCTCGCTCAAGCACAGTAGAATTGTAAACGGGCTGATTCATGTCACGCTCATAACTGTGCCTGATCTCTGATCTACAACAGGGAACTGCTGCTTTTTCTTTCCTGATCCTTACTATTGTCATTTTCCTCTACTTCTTTTGTATGTTTGTTACTCTCTTGTGACCTGCTATTTC